TTTTTTTATTATTTTTTTTATTTTTTGCTGTTAATTTTGGTATGTTGACAATGTATGGACAAAGTGTCAGCGATGTGTTGGTATCTTGTCCATGTCCAACAACTGACTCGCCAGCGCCAGGAGGGTGTGGGTGTATCGTAGAGTGCATTCATCTTTCTTTACCTCATTGTAGTACTTGACTCTATAGTTTCAATATTTTTCTTGTTAGTAGTTATTCTTCTATAGTTTCGATACTTTTTCTAGAAAGTAGTTATCCTCCCATGTGATTCATTCCCACTTCATACTAATCTTCTGCTTCATATGAAAATAAAAAAATCCACTCCAAGGTAAAGGCATTTACTTGGTTTATAATTATTAAAGAAAGTGACACCATTGACCTGCTACAGAAGAGTAGACCTCAGAAGTCTTTATCCCATGATATTTCTGTTATGTGCTAAGAAAGTGGAATCACATTCACACTTGAACATTGAAGGATGTAGATATTGTAAAAATTAAGTTAAGTCTTTCTTATTTGGAATTATGAACTACGATGTTGTGAAAAATGATGGTATGAGGCTGTATTTTCTCCAGGCTGTAAAAGGATTATCCTGTAAAATGGATATCTCTTCCATTGGTTGTCTTTTGTCATTTGAAATGCAGGACTTATGAAAGAGTAAGGAAACAAACAAAAGTTATCTAGGTCATATAAATTAACCTAAAAGAACTACTAGTAGCCGGCCAGTAAGCCAAATGCTAAAATGTTTACTCAGGAATCATAGTTTTACGTGAATAATATGTGTCATGCAATGTTACAAAGCCTAGAATATGCTGGCATTATTGTTACTAAACTCTCATGCATTAGTTGCTGCGCAAACTTATATCTCATAAGGGCATGATGACTTTATAGTAGTTCAGTATTTTGTATTTTAGCTTTGTTGAACAGGCCTAAATCTGCTGCTTAAATCTACCTGATTGAAGTGTGTTGCATTCTAGTTGTGATAAGATAACTTATGCCTGACATTCAGGGAATTTGAGTTTGTATCTAAGGTCCTTTGTGTATAGCTTCGTTGATAATGCCATCTATGACCAAAGACTCTGCGCCTTTATACAATAGAAAGATGATTTATGATGTTTATATTGCATAGTATTAAAATCACACCTGTTTCTGAATTGATGAACTACTTATAATTACCAATATGGCAATATTAGCTTTTTATGTTGTGAATAATGGAAATGTTTTTGATGTTACAGATATTATCTTCTATTTATTTCTTTTTTATGTTGCATGTGGCCAAAAGATACATTCAGCTGTCGTTTATTCATTCTATTATTCTCTCTTTTACTGCAGACACTTTCACTTGTGATTTTGAACCGGATGGGAAAGTGATGATTAAGGGTATTACATCAACTGGCGAACAAACAGTTAAGAAGAATAACATGGAATTTGTCATGCTATCACAAAATTTATGTCCACCTGGTGAATTCTCCATCTCATTCCAGCTACCAGGGGCAATTGATCATCAGCAAGTAAAAGCTGTTTTTGGAATAGATGGGGTTTTTGAAGGAGTTGTTAAGAAAAGACAACCAAGTAGTTTCTGAACTGGTTGAGTTTTCTCTGGTCCAAAACCTCAACTTGGTATGTTGAAAATATGAAGAAACACACATTCACCTTGCATTTATTTTTTCATATGACTTGCTAGTTGTCCTGCTTAATTTCGTTTCACCTG